AACAACAATGAGCTCAGTTTGGTGGAGTTTTATGCTCCATGGTAAGTTACAATGTTCAATGCATAGAGAAAAACTAGACAATCAAATTTACTCATCAGATACAAAATACAATAAAAGAATAAAATGGGGGAAATTATTGATTTCCAGAGGTTAAAAAAAGGTTTTGAATTGGGCTGTGAAAAACAGTTGGCTAGATGAGGGCAAACAAGCAATTTTTTAAAGAGTGCCAAACTTTATATAAATTTTATTGGTTCTCATCATTTTCTGCTGTGTAGGTTCAGACATTGTAAGGCTGTGGTATGGCCATGGATTTTTTGTATGTACAATGTATATTGCAGAAGCACAAATTTTTTGTGGGGATAAAATTTTGTTGATTTGTCATCTAAAATAGTCTATTGAAATAATTTCTTTGGTTTGAAAGTAACCGTATTTAATATAATAGTCATAAAAAATTTCATGTGGGAATTTATTTCGTTGATAATTGTTGACAACTAAATAAGTAAAATGTATAGTCCCCTACGAATATTTCTGCTTTGACAGTAATATGGATACATTACTCATTCTCTGTCATTTTCCCCTGTGTAGGTGTGGTCATTGTAAGGCCTTGGCCCCTGCCTATGAGAAAGCAGCCAAACAACTCAGTATACAGACCGACCCTATCCCCCTCGCTAAGGTGGATGCTACCGTGGAAACAGAGCTGGCCTCGGAGTATGAGGTCTCGGGCTACCCCACCATGTTCCTCTTCAGGAAGGGCAAGAAATACGAGTATAATGGACCCAGGGATGAAAATGGTAAATACCTGTATCATTGTGGGATGGTTTTATTGTAGCAGATGAAAAACTTTAATGTTTGATACGATTTTCTCAAATGGGCCTTAATTAAAAAAAAATTGTTTTATTTCCAGAGATGTCAATGTTAGAACAACAGTTCAGAAAATTATTACATGCTAAAACTTGTTACATCAAATTTTTTTTTTCTTTCATCGAAAAAAAAGTATTATTTTGTGATTATGTGCATCATAAGTATTTTTTGGAAGATTAATCAAATCGGTAATCTTATGTAATTTTAAATCCTTTGTTTGTCATTCTAGGTATTGTGAACTACTTGATAAAACAACAAGGGGAGGCATCCAAACTGAAGTTAAGTGTGAAGGATGTGAAATCATCCATGAAGCCCAGCGAGATCTTTGTAATGGGCTTCTTTGACAACCTGAATGATCCGAAACTCCGGATTTATATGGACGCAGGTGAGGTTTTTATGATTCAAAAGAGTTATCTTTCTTGCATAATGCCCCCTTTGAAGAAGGGAGGGCCTTTGCTTTGCTGCTGTCTGTCTGTCGGTCCACAAAGTTTCCATTATTTTCTAGCAAAGGTTTGCACATACTGAAGTGATATTTGGTTAGTTAGCACTGTGTACGCCCTCACCACTGTTGGAATACATGGCATATACTTGTAATGTAGCAAATCATCTCTTGAAATAATTTTGCAGAATACAAAAGCGGTTAAGCTGAAAATAACTACAAAAAAATTAATCAAAAAAAACCTTTTTTGAGATTTTATATGCCTTTATCCAAAAAAAAAATAAGAAGAAAATTCAACTAATTTTCTCAATGGTTTTTGGTGCTTCAAATTTACCTGCTATGTTTATATTTGGAACTCTCTGGATTGTTTGTAGTAAATGCACTGTGTACGAAAAAGAGTTTATTGTACTACAATCTGTGTGGTTTATCGTTAAACCGGTTCCTTAGGACAACATTTTAACGATAGAACGTTCTATCTAATATCTGGTATACAGATTTATCATAAGGATATCTATTTAAGTCAAGTACCATTTTGGTTAGGATTGAGCAATTTTTGACAAGTTATGCCCCTTGGACTTGGAAAAATTCAAACTATTTGCAGTTTCCCTTCAATTTCCTAGCATGTATGTCCAGGGGTTTGAATGACTGAGTTTTGTTTATTTGACATTAAAATCCACTGTTGCAGGAGCATGAGCTGTAATATGGTAACTTTCTATTTTTAGCCAACACCATGAGGGAGGAGTTTTCTTTTGGTCACACTTTAGATCCGTCCATTGCTGATGCCTTCAAGACAAACCCAGGAACTGTCCTAGTTTTCAACCCGGAGAGATTTTACACCAAATACGAACCCAAGTGGCACATAATGAAGCTGGTCAGTTATTGTAGAGTGTACAGTGAAAACTCTCTGATTGGACACCTGCAGATTCCATTTCACTGTGAATTGATATATTGATATCACAAAAAGAAAATCTAGATTCCCCACTGACACGAAAATTTCTAGATCCCCCACTGACACGAAAATTTCTGGATCCCCCACATACATAAAAGTTTTAGCTATTGATTGGATTTAAGTTTTTTTGACAGTTTATAATTTTTTTAACAGTTTATGAGATTTGTTGAAACATTTTGATTGGTTTTAAGATTTTTTGAAACATTTTGATTGGTTTATAAGATTTGTTGACACGTTTTGATTGGTTATAAGATTTGTTGACACGTTTTGATTGGTTATAAGATTTGTTGACACATTTTGATTGGTTATTTAAGGATGACGTTGAGGATGAAGGAGACATTGTGGAGTTTGTCAGGAAGAGAGAAGTTCCATTAGTGGGTCAATACACAGCTAATAATATCAAACAATACCAGAAGTATAGACCTCTCTGCTTCGTCTTCTACACTGTGGATTGGAGCTTTGATCACAGAGAAGGTAAGTTTGTAGTTTGTAAGTGAAGGCTAATATCAAACAATACCAGAAATAACCCCCCCCCCACCCTCCCCATGCACACACGGTCTGTTTTGTCTTTTAACTCTGAACTTTGTCACAGAGAAGGTAATTTTGTAAGAGATATATAAGGAGATCAAACAGTTCCAGAAGTAACCCCCCTCTGCTTTGTGTTTTATTTATGCTAGGAAGGAGGAATTGAAGCTTTTATACAGATACTGTTGAGTTTGTTTGTTGTTTTAAAGACCTTTACAGTCAATCTGATAAGGCAATGGTACATGTACATTAATGTTAGAGAACAGTAAGTTCCTTCTAATCCAGGTGTTGTGTTATCTGAAATCTCAAATGATGATGAAAACTAGGCTCTATTCCATTGTTTATAATGACAATAACTTGATCTGTGTGTCAGTCTGTAAGGAAGTTGGTGCCCCTTACCTCTTGCAGTAATCAGTTGATGAATTCCATAGAATAGAGATGGAGTTGTCTCTCTTTTAGCATAGTTGTATTGACAAATCGGAAAATTGTTGGCAAGAATATCCCCAAGGCATATACAGTATTTTGAAAAGTCCACCTCACCGATAAAGGGCAGTTAAAGTGAAATTATTTCTATTATTACATGTATGAAGGATAAAAATAACATTAAGCAAATTAATGGAAATTTGAATTTTTGCAGCAACGCAGCTCTGGAGAAACAAAGTGGCTAAAATTGCCAACAACCACAAAGAGGTGAAGTTTGCCATCGCTGACGAGGACGAACACAGCCACTTGATAGCCGAGTTTGGATTGGATGATTCAGGGGAGGAAATTAACATCGCTTGTTACGGCCCAGACGGCAAGAAGTACCCGATGGAACCCATGGAAGAATGGGAAGATGACGATGTGGAGGAATTCATCACTAAAATGAAGAAAGGTAGCGTGGAGGGCAGGATGGGGATCTAGAAAATTCTATAATACAGTAAAACTCAGTTATAACGAAGTCACTGGGACCAAAGAAGTTACTTTGCTATATCTCAAAATCTGTATAAAAAATATATTAAATTTATATAATTGGGGATTAAAGATGATTTCGCTATATCTGTGAATTTGCAGTATCCATGTTTGTACTAACTGAGTTTTATTGTTACAGTAGTGGGGATCTAAATTTTTCTTGTTGTGAAATTTCTCTTTAAAATATCAGGCAGGATGATTTTCATATTTTGGGGGGAATCACCTTTTACCCAAATTATGCAAGATTCTTGCAGGTTTAAAGGAAATAGTTGAAATCTGTTTATCTTGAAAAATAATAAAATGAATATAAAATATATATAATTTGCAGGTAGTTATTAGTTACCACTTTATTCTGAAATTTCAACCTTCAAGTTGATATGTTGAAACCTTGGATAGTTAAAATTTGTTTTAGTCATACTCTTTTAAAGAGAATACCTGATTTTTTTTCCAATTTTAGGCAAACTGACACCCCATTTAAAGTCCCAACCTGTCCCAAAACGCAACGACGGACCAGTTAAAACAGTAGTCGCCAAATCCTTTGACAAAATCGTGAAAGATAAATCTAAAGACGTCTTGATTGAACTGTATGCTCCGTGGTGCGGACACTGCAAGCAGCTAGAACCAATTTATAGAGACCTCGCCACCAAGGTAAAAAAAGAGAAAAATCTCGTCATAGCCAAGATGGACGCCACTGCGAATGACGTGTCCGAGTTATATAAGGCCGAGGGCTTCCCCACAATTTATTTTGCCCCCTCAGATAATAAAGACGCTCCTCTGAAATATAGTGGAGGTCGGACAGTGGACGATTTTATGAAATATCTGAAAGAACACGCTACAGTGGCCTTTAAAGGGAAGGACGAGTTATAACGCTTGTTACTGGTGTAGCAGAAAAACGTAATCTCTCATAATATTTAATAAAGCATATCTGCTTAGTGCAGGTTTCCTTTCTTTTCATTACAAGGTTGTTAATTTCGAAAAAGGAAAATTTTCAATAAAAATTTTCTTTTCTTTTTTATAAAACTTTTTTGGCATCTAATGAAATACATTACCTTTTTCACTTGTACATAATCTCTTAATCTTTTTTTAAATAATAAAACACGGGATAAACATATTGTTTAAAAGCGGATCTGTACTTTGAAGGAGACTTCACCAAATATATTCATGTTTATTTTTATACTTTATGTGAGGGTGAAAAAAAATACATTAATTCACAGTGTAAATGATTTCATTTGTAAATTTAAGATTGCATGAAAATGAAAGAAAATTGGTTATTGATACATATATGAAGATGATAATTTTATTTCAATTGTATGAAGCCTTGATTGATATGAAATCTTTGATTGAAAAGGAAAGAAAAAAATTAGCTGCAAAAATTTATGAATGTTAATGATTTATTTGTTGGTCGTAATGTTTTTTAATTAAACCTGGATGAAAATAAAGTTTTTGAGGTTAAAAAATAATGAACACTGTAATTTTATATATTTTGTATCGAATGATTGCTTTGAACCACCACAGGAGTTCGCGTACCTATCAATTTGGCCGAAATTTTCGGTAAATAAAAAGATACGTAATACCTATGATAATTATTATACGTATTACGTATTTTTTAATTTAATAAAAATTTCAGTATAATTGATAGGTACGCGAACTCCTGTGGAACCACAGAAGTGAAAATCACGGCATAGATTTGTCTACTCAGATGAACAGGGAATGTGATTTTCATTTATCATTAAATTCTGTTTGTTCATAATGTTTTTCCTTTCAAAAATTCACGACAATTTGTTTCTGCTCCTTTGAAACTTTATTGCTGTACTGCTTGATAATGTAATTAAATGTATAAGAACTCATATGAATCAATGGAAAGATGTACTAAATATGGTTTATTTTTGGATCATTCATACTTTTGGAGATTGCTTACAAATAACCCAAAATCATTTTATTTATTTACATGTATATAATTGAGATATATAGACCAAAGTTCATGCATATGCATCATTTTCACTCTGCATTTAGATATATTTTTATCAAGGTATTGTATTGTAAATGTATCAGATCACATATTTTGTATGAGGGTTTGTAGGACATTAATTTTATAATTGGTAGTTATTTGAATTTGAGGTGTTGTTGAGTATATATTTTAACCCCGGATTTTGTGTTTCAAGGATATTTCAATGCATTGGTTTCTATTGTTAGCCTTTCATCAAACATGTATGTCAACTCAAAAATATCTTTAAATTAAGGTTTGTTTTCAAAACTGATTGAGAAGCTTTAATATTGTTTCACCTAATTAAAACCATTTTATTTGCATTCCAAGGCTTCTGTAATAATTTCTTATTCAGTATGAATGTATGACATACTACTTAATTCAAAGTGGTGAGAATTTTTGTAAAAATGGGTGTATAAATGAATTACAGAATGGTGAATAAATGAACGTAAAAGAAGTTGTTGATTGTTTAATTTTGCAAAAGCTTGAGCTAAGTATAATTTGTAAATCATTTTCATATTTTAAAAAGAATGCATAGGAATATACCATATAAGCAGACTATTTAGCGAAGATTTAAATTTGGTCTTTATTAGCATAGTGGTGGGGGGGGGGTTGCTGAGATTGCCGAAATTTAATATCGCTAAAAATTTTGTTGTCATAGCCTTTTGACTGAGCATTTTGAAATCGCTAAAATTAGTTAAGGTACATGTATCTTATGTAAGGACATGATTTTTAACCCAAGATAGCCATCCTTCATGAAATACTCTCAAACTAATTCAAGGCAGTTTAGAATAGAAAAAGGTTTACCAGGAGAAATTTTCAAAAATGTAATTACCTGAACAGTTGAAGAATGCATTAAGGTCTATATAGGCAGGGGGAAGCAAAGATTTGAAAATAAAAATCTAAATACTAAGAATTAAAAAAAATGCTATGGCGGAAAGATGTATACATGTATATTTATTAAGAATAGATAGTTTTCGATGGACCTAAATTTAGAAAAAGTTACCTCCCGTTGGTCGCCATATTGGAGGTCAACTCGGTGAGTTTTCCTCTATGTCTTAAAAAGTTTTAAAAAATATAGCAGAAATATTTGGTGGAAAATCTTTATTAAATATTTTTTTTTAAATAAAGGAGGCTTCTGAAAATTTATATACTTCAGAAAAATAATGATTCCTAATTCAAAATCGCAAATATAAAAATTTAAACTTGTTATACGTCACTGGTTGAGCAATGAAGCAATATGACCTCCAGTATGGCTGCCCACGGGAGGTAACTTTTGCTAAATTTAGGTCAAGTGAAAAGTATCTATAGAAAAAATGATTGAAAACTACTGTACATGTACAAAATTTGGCATATTTAAAATTTAGCGCGATCAATGGATATGGAGTTGTTGGCTTAATCATGAATTAGCGCTACACATCATGTTCGTGCCGTATATTCTGTTAATAAATGATTTCTTAGCGGGACCATGAATTAGCGCATCATCGTGTGCGCCAAAGTATATGCCAATGCATAAAATATGAAGCCCGCTATTTTAAGTACACATAATCTGAGGCTATTGTAAGTCGGATACCTTATATCGCTAAACTTGCGCCTCGCTAAAATTTCCACTTAAGGACAGATGATACAAACAAAGTTTTATCAAAGAATTTGAAAGTAACAAGTTGGGTCATGTTTAAATGAGTAAAATTAATAACCTTCACCGCGTAGTTTTCATTTTTATTATTCAAATTTGCACAAAAATGGAATTTGAAGTGAAAAATATTTGTATAGATTAATAAGGATGGTTTCAGAAGGGCATACTTTTGAACATCACAGAAGGTTTACAATTTCTTTATTTTCTAGAAATTTATTATTTGCATCATTTGCAATGAAATTAGTCCAAAAAATATATACCAATCCAGGCATCCATTTTTTTGTTTGTATCATCTGTCATTAAACGGTATGTTGGGGATGTAAACATGCTGAAGGAAGTGGAATAAGGAAATTTGACGATGGAAAGCCGAAATCACTCAGTCACAAAACTTTATTGTCGTTGGTTCTTATCATCCATAGTTAGTCATAAAACATCATTATTTGAAACAAAAGAAAACAGATTCTATAAATGGCCTTTATTTCATGTTCTTGGAATGTACTTAGATCGTTCTGAGATCGCGTTGACTAGGAATAGATGTAACGATTGTAAATTGATAAAACATATGTCATCGGGATCATGAATGTAGAGTTAAGGCCATAGTAAATGCCTTTTTATGTAGAAGTGTTTTAAAAATAAATTCTGCTTCACAGACTATACCAAAAAAAAAAAACCATAAGTTGGATAAGTTCCCAAAGGAACCGCAATCAATTTGTTGGTAGACCTGGTCTCTAAAGACAAGAAAACTTTAAATGTTGCCAGTAACGAACACCAGCTCCCTTTGAAAACACTTTTCAAAGTACTTTTGTATAGAATCAGATTTGTTGTTCGACAAAAAATTTTGTTAATGACCAAACATGATAAACGAATATTCTCCAGGTCCGGTTCCATTGAAGAGGCCCTAGTCTATATGATATCAACATGTTTAGTTTACTGAATATACCTGTAAGATATGAACACTAAAATGCATGTATATGAATGGAATCCGGATATAGGGCCATGCAGTTCACTATCGCACCATCGAACATCGACTATAAGATCGATGGCGCAATAATGCGATCACATGAAGCGATGGTGCGATGACGATTGAGCTATGGTGCGATAGGACAATGGCGAAAATGCTATAACGATGGTGCGATATCACGATAGGTCAATGAATATCGCCTCATCATCATCATGCCATCTTCATCGTGTCACCGCAGTCGTGTAAACGCGTCATCGCATTAGAGTCGTCGCGCTATCGAACCATCGCTTCATCCTTAACGCACTAGTCATTGCGTCATCTCACTATTGGTCTGAACCTCGGTGGTGCGAGGATGCGATTGTAAACTACATGGCCCTATCCATAGTTCATATATATGAAGCTCATTAGAATGTTTTATTCATAAAATATATTCCTTACTTTGTATTTTGGTTAAATTTCAGTTGTATTAGCATTCAGTATATCATAATTGCTATTTTAAAGATTTTCGGTGATTTGTAGTAATTTAAGAATAGAAATGCAACGTTAACGTCGGTAAAACGTGACTTGCAACAGTCTTTTACTCTTGCAATGAAACTGAAGTTGTAAAATTAGTTGTAAAATAAAATTGAATTAATTTAGATTAAATTCAACATTGACGAGATACCATTGCTAATGATATACTCTAATTATTCCATTATAAAGATATGAAATATATTCGGAGTGCACGCGTGTATGAAGCTGTTACTGATGACGTATGCATACGTATAAAGGTGAGAACCCATTTTATTAGATCCCTGTCATAATATTTGTTCGTCTTTCAAAGATTTGCGAGTTTTTATTCCGTGTGTAATTAATGGTATATATTTATTCAGTAATTAATTACCGCTAATTACCGAGTTTCTAACTGACGTTTTAATCTTCTTTTTTTATTATTTACAGAAGAAACCAAATTAAATTGACAAGTTACAGGATTTCTCTACATAGACTTAACGTGCTATGTCTAAAGAACAATCGACTCCACGATTAAAGAATTAATTAAAAAAATATATCTTACATCTGTCTTAATTAGAAATGTAAATCTCACATATATCTCTTTTTAAACTAATTATACTTTTATAACATACGCACCCAGTAAGTAATGTAAAAAGGTTTGAATTTCGGGGAAAGCCGTGTCCGAAATTAAGACATCTTGAACACGTTCAGATGTAATTGTTTCAAAACCATTGGGAAGTTTAAAAAAAAGATTAATCAGATTCCCACCTCCTCACATAACGTGTCAGGTACGTTTTTTGTATCACTGGGGACGTCTAAGAAAATACTGAAGAAACTTGAAGCACTGGATATTGCATTAATCTGACAATAAATCTAGATAGAATTCTTCAGGGTCATGTTAACATACAAAATAATGTGTTCTTTATATCTGATAAACGACACAACCATTAAGTCATTGTAAAGTTCTGTAAGAAGAGAGATACGCATTTGATATTGAATTCTACTAAAGCAATCTTTCTAAAACTCTTTGGGGTCACATTAACTTTTTAAGACGATACTTTTTCCGTATAGATAACGACGAATTACTTGTAAATCTTAATTTAAACTCCATACTAGAGGGGTTTTTTCCTAATGTTCTTTGTTTTTTGGAGACCAGGTCTTCAAACAATCTATTGGAATTCCTATGGGTACCAATTGCGCTTCATCATACGCAGATCTATTTCTGTATTCATATGAAGCAAACTTTGTTCAAAATCTTATACGTGAAAGGACCAAAGAAAACGTTTGCCGTGGCCTTCAATTCGATATTTAGATATATCGACGACATATTGTCATATAATAACATGGTAATTTCCTGATGGGCTAAATGAACTAAAAGATATTACAGTCTGACACATCTGTTTCGTATTTGGATATTTTACAAGAAAAAGACGTGAATGGTATAGATCTAACAACCAATCTTCACGACAAATGTGATTACTTAAACTTGTCTACTTCCCTTACTTATAGAGCAATATACCCTTATCACTTCCATACGGGGTTTATATCTTTCATTTGATTCGATATGCAAGAGCAAGTTCTAAGGATGAACAATTTCTAAACGAGGTTAGTTTTTGACAAACAAGTTGATGAAACGAGAATATCAACAGTCTCGTTTAAAGTCACCATTTCCTACGCTCTAGGGTCGATACTGTATCTGTGGCCTTTTCAGTGAATACAATTTATCACGAATCATTTAGTCAAAAGGGGAATGACGTTTTTCATACTAATTGTTAGTCTATTTTTACACACTGAATTGTCGATGGGTTTTCCCGTTATTTCTCAATCTTGACAAGGCGCAAACATCGGATTGGACCAGTTGGCAGGGGATGCTCACTTCTCCATGGCATTTGATCCAATCTCTGATGTTTCAGAGACTCATGTTTGCTCCTAATTTGTAATATTTGAAAATGGACTTTTGATCTTGAAAACTATTCGTTATCTGCAAATATTTCCATTTCTAATTTTTTCTCTGTGATAACTCTTTGAAAGTTAGCGGAGTTGATTCCTTGATAATTTTACCGGAATGTAAATTAGGCAGGTTTTATTATTTGCTAAGGAGGCCAAATATGCATGTAAATCTCTTGCGGCTGCCTTTGTGGCCGAGGAGTATTGAAACTGGCATGGGAGTTTGTAATTTAAAAGCATTTTGAAATGGAAATATGTCGTTGCAAATCTAGATTTTAATAACGGACTTCGCCCGTTATGCAAATTATCCCATGTTTCCCACTATCGTTGATGCCCTGGCATACTATACGAATTAGACAGTGATTTCTTAAATATTTCAGACATTTATTTTGTTATTTGATGCGTTTGAAAGCTTTGTCGTTGCAAATCTAGATTTTAATCTGACAAGATATCTTTATGTATTTTTTTTCCAAATCATATCCCAATTTAATAAAGGTCATATAAATGTACAGTTGTAGGCATTTTTATTACTCTGCTTGGTTTATTAATTCAAAAAAAATGATCGTATTTTATAGTGTTCCATTGAAAGTTTTATTTTCAAAGTGAAGAAAAAAAAACCCTTAATCTTATGAGATGATTTTAATGATTTATTATTCTACATAAAGTATATACTTGTTGTTTGTTTATCTAATTATGCACAACTATGAATAAATACAAAAATTGTAAATATGAATACATAATTACATGATAAATAATTACGATCTTAATTAACTGATTTGTTCATTGATGCTTAAACAATTTATTAGAATAAAAATAATAAGGACTCACTCAGTCTTTTTTTAAGGTAGGGTTATGGGTATCGATAAGAAGAGGAGCTGAAATTGAATACGACTTTCTCCCTACATTTTTTTTTTTATCATTTATATTAAATGTTACGACTACATTATTTTTGTCATATGGAGTAAATCAAATATATTAATAAATTAATACAATTTTCTTGATCTGCTTCTCAATTAAGATAAGTCAAGCAATCCTAACTAAAAAAAAAAATTCAAACGCATATTATCTAAAAAGCAATTATAAAATCAAGTATATTCTATATTCATAAGTATAATTTCCAGAAGCTAATGCAAGAAATCGACAACTATGATGATGAAGTATAGCGATGTAATTCTGACAAGTCTCTCCATCTGATACTATAAAGTCTAAGACAATAAACAGGCAGATTATTTCACCAAACAGATATAAGATGTCATTGTATTTTAACATATTACAATTAATACAACATGAATATAAACAAAAAACTTTTCTTTTATGTTTAAAAAGAAAAATATACGTGTTAGCACTATGTTATAGTCTTATGTTGGAAAAGTAAGCACGTATCCAATAAATAAAGAAACATAATAGGTCAAGGTCATTCTGACCTAATAGGTCAAGGTCATTCTGGCCTCAGGAGATGTGATATGTTCTGATTGGTGGGATTTCTCTTACTGCTTAACCTGAAAGAAAAAAGAATTATAAATGAGTGCACATTCATAAGATATTGTGTGCCCCCTCCCCCAATATACGCAGTTTTCCACCATATAGGTTTTATATCCTGGACAGATATAAATGCAATGAAATGAGTTCAAGTGAATTCAAGATCCTGGCCATGCCGACAGATTGAATACCGCGCGTTAGCCATATTACATGCAGACGTAATCTCGTATCAAAAAGACTGAGGGGCAATATGAAAACCATCTATCCTATTGTATTCAATAATCCAGAAGTGAAAATAAAATTAGATAGATTACACGATCAGTACGTACTGGTCCCTGCTGACAAAGCAGGTAACAACCTTGTCTTTGTTTGTAAGGCTGACATTATATAAATTGTATTTTAGAAGAACTTGGATTTATTCTACAAGTGAAATCTAACTTATGCTCATAGTTCCCTTACAACGGAAGAGACTCTTTAAAATCGTATGTAAGTTTTGAATATCTTTAATATCCCAAACAATAAAATGAGATTGAATTACCATTTCTATATTAGATTCCGAAACTTCATAAAAGTCCTTATAAAAAAGATACATAGCGGGTTCCATAAATGTTTATCCAAGTCTCTTTCTTTACTCCTGACTAAAATATTTACAGTATTGAAGGAGAAATTTGAAGAGTACTATGCGATAATATATTCTAGAAGTGGTGTTAATCAAATGTAGATACTTAAAAATTCCAAGGAAATTTTGGTAAACTTGAAATCATAAGATTTTACCAAAATCAACATCTTAAACACTTATGACTTTTCAACTTAATATGCACAACCATTCTCCACGATAAATTAAAGTCCAGGCTTTTTGATTTCATTCACAGTTGCTTTTTTAAAAAAAATGGAACTAATAAATTTACTCGCCGTGTTATTGGCCATTTGCAAAATTATAAAAACGTTCTAATTGTACACACAAGTACTTTGAAGTTGACATCAATATGATGCTTGAGTTTCTGATTGTCAATATCTATGTGGTTTTTGGAGACCAGGTCTTCCAACAATCTGTTTGAATTCCCATGGGTACCAATTGCGCCCTGTTATAAGAAGACCTATTTTTGTATTCAGAGAAACAGAATTTGTCCAAATTCTAATACATGAAAAGAAGGAAACACTTGCTGTGGCCTTCAACTCAACATTTAGATATATAGACGACGTTTTGTCAAATAACAATAATTTTTTCCATGCTTATGTAGATACGATATATCATTGTGAGCTTGAGATGTAAAAGATACCACAGAGTCTGACACATCTGTTTAATATCTGGATATTTTACGTGAAAAAGACATTAATGGTAATCTAACAACGAAGCGCATGATAAACGTGATGACTTTAACTTTTCAATCGTCTAGTTCAGTTACTTATGCAGCAATATACCTTCATCACCTGCATACGGAGTTTATATCTCTCACTTGATTCGATATGCAAGAAGATGCTCTACGTATGAACAATTTCCAAAACGAGGTAAATTATTGACAAATAAGTTGATGGAACAAGAATATCAGTCTCGTTTAAAGTCATCATCTGTTATGTTCTATCATAGTCAATACAATGGCCTTGTCAGCAAATACAATTAATTATTGAGTCAAATGCTGACTGACGCTTTTAATACTAATTATTAGTCCGTTATTTACAAACTGACGTGTCGACGGATTTCCCGTTATTTTTCCGATCATAACAAGGAGCACATGCCGGATGTGATCGGTCAGCAGGGGATGCCTACTACTCCATGGCACCTGATCTCACCTCTGATGTTTCGGAGGTCCGTGTTTGCTCTCCTCTTTTTTTATTTTTTTTAACGGACTTTTGATCTAGAATACCGTTAGTTATCTCTATATATTTCATGTAAATGCGAGGAGAAGTTATTTTATATGATCTGGTAAAAATTGTTTGCCTTTCTATGAATAATTGTATTTTCGACATTTTAACATTGATCTTGGAAAAAACGTTTTTTTTCTTTTTATTTTTATATGCTTTTCATCTTTCTATTTCTCTTTGTTTACTTGCATCCATACATTGTACATTAATCGATCAACTGTCTTTCCTATCAAATATTATTCGGAAATATTTCAGAATTTCTTTTAATGAATTTAAACCCTTCAGTGCACTTTCCAAGACAACCAAATGAAGCGGAAATGGGAGAATAGTAAAACATATATATGCTCAGTATGACAAGTCAAAGTGCTTTGAAAATCAATGTAAGATATAATAGATAAAGCAGGACACGCAGAGACAAGCTAATCCCGGATCTTTGAAATTCTTGGAACAAATCAATGATTTTCTGCGTTTGTAAATTGAATCAAACTGAATTTTCTGTTTTTAACAGGAACAAAATCCTAGATGATCGCGGGCGTCAAGCATTCATGTATGAGATTGAAATTGATTTTGGGAATTGCATCATATTCCAAACTAAACTCTATGAACGAAGCCTTTGGGGTTTTTTTTTGTTAGATCTTTATGAAAATTTTATTTTTCATATTTGTAGGTATATGATTTAATAGTTTGTACTTTGTGAAATTTTATGTTTTCTATATATCAACCAAAAATAGGAAGACGGTATTTTGTATGTTTTTGTCGAATATGAAGACAATTAGCATATTGTTCAATGGAAGAAATCGTGGAGAATTCATAGAAACAATGTACCTTGATATAATACTTTAAAGTGAACAAAAATACTCACCTCTGAAACAGGGATAGGGGAAGAATCTAGACCCTGAACGGCGGACACAGATCCGGAGATGACCACGCTTTTCGGGTGAGATTTTATTTTTACTTTCTTCCTCGGCCTGGTTGTCAAAATAACTCTCACTAGACGTCGCCATCATATCGGGGTTCAATTTTCCTTCCTCGACCAACTGTAAGAATATATTTAAATGAAAATTATTTAAATTAAAAGTCAAATGCTGATTGACGTTTTTCATACTTATTGTAAGTCCATTATTTATACACTAAATCGACGACGGATTTTTCCGTTATTTCCCGATCATGACAAGGAGCACACGGCGGGTGTGACCTGTCGGCAGGGGATGCTCACTCCTCAATGGCACCTGATCCCACCTCTGATGTTTCGGTGGTCCGTGTTTGCTCTGCCCCTATTTTGTATTGTTTTATGGACTTTGATATTGAATGCTCTTCGTTATCTCCGTGAGAATGAGAATTTCTTTTTTTCATTAAAATCACAGTCGTTTTTATGAAGGTGAAAAAGGATGAAGACAAAGAGCACAAGTACATTAAAATTTGAAGTAAGACAAATCAGTGAATGGGATATAAATGAGGATCATTTGCCATGTAGGAGTAAGTATCCCCTGTAAACCGTTTACACAAAGCCTGAACCCTAATCTATTTAAGGAATGAAGCTTATTTCAACTTATGTTATACGATATAACATAACTTGGGGCATTCATTCATTGGCTTCATTCCTTATAATTTAATTTCAATGTAGGCATGAGACAATTTATCTATTTTTTATTTCGGAAAAAGGCTTCAAATATAGCATATTTTGAAAGTTAACGTCAAGCGGAGTAATACGATTTTGACGTAACTCATTGTGACGTAGGCAAGTTATGTTATACAAAATGGATAAAACCGTTTAACCAATCAAATGACGTGTTATAACTGAAATTAAATTATTAATCAAGAAGAAGGAACATTCTACAGTCAAATTAAGTATAAAATGAATGGTCTAACGAGGTATCAAATTTATAACGGTCATAAAGAACCATCTAGAATTTACAAAATTATGACTTCAAACAGGGTTGTTGAAAAGCTGTACATAACAATGTGAGTGTAGCCTGTGTAAAAGCCATATGCAGGTGATGGCGGAGTGTTGACTATGGCAAGAAGGAAGCCATCTCGTTTGTCTTACAATTTAGTTATTTATTGGCCTTCTTCGTCTTTATTCACTACAGAAATATGATATAATACAAATATGGCAGACTCTTTATAAGAAGGTCTGCATTAATTGAATATAAATATAAAAATCTCAGTTTTATTTTATAAGGAGGAACCTCCTTTAATAATTTAAACATATGTTGCTCAAAAGAAATGAATATAATCACATATTTAATTATGAAATTGCTCAAAACCCTTCTTGATTTGTCCGATCTGATTTGGTTACTTTTCTACCTCAATCCAGTTCTTAAATAAATAGGTATATGAATAAGGGGCACATGTGCATTTTTTACTGTTACTTTTAATCGACGCTCTAAAGAAAATCAAAAATAGAAAAAGTGCTATACTTATCCCTTCAAAGGGATATGTGTTTCTCCGTTTACATAATTTTACTATTTTTACTTTTCCATCTTGCTCGATTCAATATATAGACTTAAAAATAACAGGCATAGCATTCTACTTCAAAGATGTACGTGTTTCTATGTGTTCCTAATTCTAATGTTTTTCGTTTTGTTCTACTTTCTAGTCGTGTAAATAACATAGTCTCAACGGAGGCAAACGATGAATCGCGCAGCATACGTAAAAGTCATTTAGTTAATTAAATTCTTCGTTCTGTTAATCAGAGTAAAGAGCTATTTCTGGGTTTGCACGTTTTAGTCTGTATTGCGGACCAACTTATTTGAAAAAAAAATCCCGATTCGTTGACGAGAGACAGTATAACTGTAAATGCTTATATGAAAATAGTTCAACTGCGAGACGTGGAGACAGGTCATTCAGATGAGATTGTATAAACCGAGGTCCCATGTCGCAGAAGTTGTTGTCCGTGAATTTGTTGATGAAACATGTAGGTTTCAAAATGACGACATATTCTCTTATAGCTCTTGAAATGTATTACATTTATTTGCATGACATATTGTTATATAAGGAGAGGAACCAATAAGTTGTAAAAAACTTGTTTCAAATCCTCTTGATTTATTCAATCATATATGTTCACAAAACTTTATAATTTATGCTCTTTATTGGTATTCAAGATATGAAAAAAATCACTTAATGTTTTTTTTTCAGAATCTTGAAAAACGTTTTAAATGAAAGAAAATTAAACAAACGAACAAACAAACAATCATCATTTAGTACTAAAGTCTAAAATTATCAATTGTATATATTTTTATTGATTTTCTTAAGAGCATAAACACCGAATCATCTTTTGCTCGTATAACAAATCAATGCTATAATTTTAAAATTTTAAGCAAAAGAGCGTTCACTATACAAATTGTAATTTTCAATTTATTAAACAACGCTAGCATTAATAATTGATATCAAAAGAAAGTACCTTTTAAAGCTTTAATTTATTTCAAATATTGCAAAAAAAAAATCTATTGAACGCATTTGACTTTCCCTCATCATATAATAGCACTCTATAAACCCATTATCAAACTGTTTAATCACAGTTCCTAGATCAGATAATGGATCAGACGTCCACTTAACAGTTATTTACTCCAGACTTGTCAATTTCCAAGTGGTCAGGTAAAATAGACTGCGATTAATTGCTTCTCACCTGCCGTCAATGAAGAATCAGCGAATTTAAGTGTGACACTTCCATCACTTGTTAGGTGTAAAAATGCTTACAATTCCCATTTGGAATTCTAGACAGCATTTCCTGTTAGAACAGGACATTTACATTGTATCCAATAACATAAACTGTATAAAACTTTTCAGTTCTCTTTTCTGATTCAGTGAGTATAATTAAAAGTACGTTGCGAACGAAATGTATGAAAATTATAGCCACCGTTCTGTTATCTGTTATATCTAAGAAAGGCAACTACTTGTTTTTTTGATTTGACAAGGATTATATATCTCTTTATATACATGTTTTACTTCTTTCTAAAATATAAAGTGAAATCATATATTAAACTCAGTCAGCTTTCTGTTGCTGAACAATGTTTTATATTGAAAACCGTTCTCATAATTGAACACTAGTCGTTAGCAAAACATATTACTGTGTTCCAGTGAACAACAAACAGTAAAATTACGTACAAAGTAGACAGAATGAGACGAACATATGTTCATGTATTTATAATAACAATTTTTTCATTACAATATAATGTAAATAAGAAAAGAACCAGATAGACTTTAAGTTAACTTTTATTATTTTAATAATCTGCATACCAGTATTTTTCATGCTTCTCCTCCCTTTTTTCTTTTAACATTATTATGCAGATAACGTTTTTTATGTTCATAAAAAGTAATATATTTTAAAAGTAATTCTTTATTTATTCCTTTTAATCATTATAATTTCATTTAATTAAATAGAAAATCTTGCATTAGGTCACGATTCTACTTCGATAAACCATACAGAGACATGCTGCTGCACATCTTGTGGCATACCTTAGGCTACTGTGTTTACCAGTAGGCACACAGGGGCTTATTGTTGATAACCGTACCATGCTGGGGATATATACCGTGGCACGCAGAGAAATACAGTGTGTACAAAGGAGACGTATCGTATGATACTGTAGAAATACAGTAAACAGCTGAGGAAACACTGTAGGTTACTGAGAAAGACAGGAATTTCATACAAAAGCCAGTATAGTGTTTCCATAAACAAATGCATTTACGTCTATGTTATATTGAGCTTCCTTATTCCTTATGAGTGTGTTTATACATGAATGAATTAAAAATAGATACCGCGGCAGTTGAAATGTTTTGTAATGAAACATTGTGTTTTACAACTTAATTTTATTCCATTACCCTAATAATAAACATGATAATAAAAAAAAACCTTTCTGTCAAAATGAATTCTAACATTCTGACAATTTATTTTACCAGACTTTTTTGTGGTTAGTGGAATCCACCAGGAACTGAACTTTAATGGATCGCATGACGTTTTATTGATGATAATATTTCTACTGTCATATTATTCTCTAGGATTGCAGGATATGTCATAGAAAAAAATAACCCCGATCAAACTGTTTGATATGATATTATGTATGATTTATTCATTGTTTTCAGTATCATTCATCAGAAAATTAAGTCTCAATAACAATTGAAAAAGGATAATTTTTTATTGAAATACGAGCAGAGGGATTTTGTTATACGAATTCATGGGAGAGATGCTCTCTATTTTGTTCATAATTTCTCTGTCTAGCATAAAACAATACAAATATAGGAAAATGACACACGTGAATCCCTTACTATTAAATGGAGGAATAATTTGACAACGTGATCCTATTTGCATTAAGGTTAAACATGAACATTAAATAGTGAGAGGTCCAATGGACATTTGCGAAATGTTTTTATTAAAGTTGTGGACTATAAGCAAATTCCCTTTAAAGGATAAAGAAGAGTAAAAATTTGCACCAGGCTTATAAGAAATTTATTTATTTATTTAAAAAATACCATGTAGTTACCTGGCCGGTCCATTGTAATTTATGATGTTAAATAAATCACCGTTGAAGATCTGATACCAGTCTATATTTGTTTGTCAAACTGTCATAATGTTTATAAACATTAAAAAGATAAAAACAAAAAACGATTCAAATCGTTTTGTTGCCTTGTTTCTAAGATTTCAGATTTTTAAAAAAAAATATACGTTGAACTCCAACTTTTCTTAAAGACAAAACAATTTCACAAACCTTCATAGAAATCAGCTGTGTAGGATGGGTAACAATTTTAAAAGTACCCAACGCACATAAATTATGAATTACATTGATGGATTAATTCTTTCATAAGTGCTATGTTTGAGTTGGATTAATGATGATATATGATCTGTTGTAATCACACAAGAACACAATGAACAAATTTGACATCTGAAAAGCAAATGTATTGAAATATTTATTTGCTTGTCAAACCTTGCCTGTCATATTATGGGAAACACTTTCTCTGTTGTTTAATAGGTAATGTCGACAAGAATAATAATTTACCGTTGATATTCTGATATATACTTCCGTGTCTGAATTCTTTAATTCCTGGAAATAGTGAACATCCTTTTCTAAACGTAAGACCAACCAAATCGATCGATTTTTAATATAACGTTTTCATCCTTCTGTATTATGAGATAAATATTCAAAATATCTTACAAGTATCTTTTTTATAATCACTTTTGGGAAACAGGCGATATCGCTTATATGCAAATTAATTCCTTTTTTCTTCCTTTGTTCTTGCATTGCCTAAAATAGCTTCTCTGCGCATAGCAGTAGGAATACCACAATGTTTTTAGAAGCCCCCTCGTCTGATACCTGAAGATACATTGTACACTCGTTTAAAGGTACTCTATGTATTATATATATATATCACTGTATGTCAAAACCAACGATCGAATGCAGAGAATGTATGATGTAAGATGACATCAACTTGAATTACATTGCAAAAGCCTAAGAAACAACTAAAATTATTTATTGCATACAAAGGACAAGATAGGGTAACAGCCGAATCTGGCCCCCATTTGATGTAAAAATCAGAACACTAGTAAAATTGTGATAGTTTGTGGTTAAGAAGTTTTACATAATTTAGATTCAAAGCTTACATGGAAGCCACCAGAGGGTGCAGAAGTAGGACATTTTCCCGAATTTCTTCAATTCTGGAGGAATTTCATCATATTTGAGATAACTTTCTCTTTGGAAAACATAGAGCACAAGCTTGCTCTGAGATTTTTACGCATAAACTGCATTTGATATTAGTGTATACAATATATAAATTTGGTAGATGGGCAAGCGTGTGCTCTATGTTTTCCGAAGCAAAATGTGCTGTAAAATTTATGAAAATTTGCATAAAAATAAGACATTTCGAAAATTGACGTATTTCTTGATGTCACTGTGATCTCTGTATATTCTAAATGTTAGAACCAATACTCATTTTGTGGCATGGGTGACAACAGGTTTTTATGGATAAACTGTTGGCTCATTCTGAAAGACACCCAAAATCGGGGGCCAAACACTGGTCTTAACCCTATTTTGTCCTTTATGCACACATTTGGATATTTGCCCTTCACCTTTTACTACAAATCAATAGAATAATTCCGAAAAACACATTTCTATTCTTTTTTTATATGCTGACACGAAAAAAGATCACCGAATACTCAAATTAAGACCGTACATCCCATGTACGTGTCTACATTCGTAGCCCTCCATCGCTATATGGTGGTGTTTCAATTTGAGTGAAAAATACTAATTGAAACAGACAAGCAACCAAAAAAACATATTTAATATATATTGTTTTGCAAAAGATTCTAAACTGAATTAACTACTGAACTGTTCATTACATAGGGGTGTGACCATCGTATAGAGAAAGGCCTAATAATCCTACCTTTGGAAATACCAAGTACAACAAGTATGTGATGCTTTTTACTGGGTATTATTAATAATGACATCGATCATTGCTTTATATTTTCATAGTGCTTATTTACATGCAAGGACTTACAGACATTACAAAGTGCCTCACATGCATGTTTAAACCCATGAAATAATATGCTTTTTAAACCTTTATACTTTTATTAACATTTTTACGATTAGTTTGCCTGTTTTTATTCATCTGTGTATCTTATGAACATTTTATGGAAAACAACATTCAAACTTATTTCCATTTAATGAGGACATTTAGGATATTCTACGTTAGAAAATGTTGCCAAATGAATAGATATATGCTCATAGAGATTTCAAATGATATCCATACGATTTCTCACGCTTGCTGAACTTTATATTTTTACATCACATTCATCGGTCGACAAAAAGACTTAAAACAAGAAAAAGTTCAATCAGTTTGTCTTTTAGATTAGCATAGGCAATCAGATAATGAATACATCATGTACATTAAAGAAGCTGATTCGAAAACTCTTTTGTCTCTTTACTTCAAAACACTGAGGATACCATACCAGTAAATCCATGTTTACCTAACAATTAGATGCAATGAGTTTTTATATCTAATTACGTCAATCGCAATTTCAATACCGTTGAATTTAGATGAAAGACATTAGTATTGAATAATTTACTCCAATAACAAGATGTAAACACTATTACCTGATCTTGTACAAAACTTTGTTGCATGTATTGTGAAGTCTCTTAATTGTAAAATGTCTTTTACTCATCAAAATTTAATTTTGATCAGTGTGTGTTTTTCAGTTTCACAGCCTATTTGCATTCTATACAGTCAAACATTTTTGTCTGAAAATTGATTGAAATAAACTCTCATCTCTCTCTCTCTCTCTCTCTCTCTCTCTTACCCCTTTCAGTGCCAGGTAAACAAGTTTCTGGAATGTGTCAAGGTCTCTTGTATCCATATATTTTGGTCGTTTGTCTTCAAGATGTTGATCACTCTGAAAACAGAAAATCCTAATTTTTATGACGTTAAAAAGTTTCTTTGTCTTTTAAATGCTGGAATAAGGCAGTGATTGATGACACATCAATAAAATGTAACGGGGGGACAAGATGAAAAGTGTTTTGAAAAAACAGCAAAAGAATATTCTTAGAAACATGGGAGAACATAATTCGAGATGACAACGGATCGACATGTCATCCAAATTATCACTAGCATCAATCAAAGTCATTTATCCTAATCATGTTTATACATGTAGATATAATCTGTATTAAACTGTTTGAAAAATTATGATAAAAACAAGAAATTCGAAAGTCAATTAAAAATTTCATATTTAAGGAAAAGTTACCGTAAAAACCAAATCATCATGCAACTCAAGTTTAATTCAGTGGCAAAAATTCTTGAGAGGTTTAAAGGAGTTTTTTGAAAATGAGGAGAAGACCTGAAGGATGATTAGTATGCAATGAACCCATTTAATATTGCCTGTATTTATGCACAGGAACATAATTTACTGCCTTTCAAGACATGCCTTCCACTGTGTGCCTTTTTGTCCTCGTCCATGGCACCTTATCCCACCTCCGATGTTTTGAGGTCCATGTTTGCTCTGCTCCTATTGTGTATTATTTTATGGACTTTTGATCTTGAATACTGTTCGTTATCTCCATATCTTTCATTTATAGAGTAGCAGATTCAAATGAAAATTTCGCTGTAAGTTCGAATCCAACTGCGGGACTTGGAGACTGGTCCTTTGGATAAGACCGTATAAACCGACGTCCCTTGTCATAGTAAATGCCCGAACGAAAAAAAAAAATAATTGCCCAATAGCACTGCGTGTGGAATACAGATCCAACTTTGAAGCCCTTCACTGAGGTATGCTTGCATCTCAGTATAAGTAAAATATGTCTCGAAAGGGCGTTAAGCATACAAAAAATAACCATGAATAACTACATTGGAAAACTAAACAATGTTTTGTCGACTTGATGACTCAAGATGCGTAACAGCTGATTAAGTATTCATTGGATTATCAATTCAGATTTTGACATTTGCTTTAGTCTCTGAAGCTTGTTATTTTAATATCGTGTTTTTTTTTCTTAATAATAAAAATCGATTCTAATCAAAAACTCATTATTTTACATAGCTGTTTATGTAAAAAAAAAAAATCACTGTAAATAATTCCATTAATAATTTAATGGATTTTCTGAAAGTTTGAAATTTGCAAGGATATGCAGTAAGGAGGCTGGGGGGTCAACAAATTAACCATAAGGTTTAACTCAAGTTTTTATATATGATATCTTAATCTGTCAACTATCATTTGGCAAAGAAAATTTTCACAGATTTTAGTTTTGAAATTTGACCAATTTTGTATATCTTCATATGGAGCTCTTTTCCTAAAGGAGATCAATATAGTCTAAAAATTACTGCGACCCCCTAACCCTCTTGAAGAGAAGCAAAACCCCAAGATCAAATAAGTCATATTGTACAACATTTATCTCCTTGAATGAGTACACAAAGAATTTCGCTCGACAAGGCTAATGAAAGCATTTCAATGATCAAATGCAAAATCCAAAATGAGATGTAATAAGTTACTACATGTGCATCATATGAAATATCGACACGACGAACAGCAGTCAAGAAGTCCTTAAAATTATAAGAAACCGAAAAAGAGCACAAAGGAACCTCTGAAATTAATGGATGAGGGGCCATTAAAAAGGAATCATTCCCTATCGAACATTAACATCTGCCTTGTACTTTTTTGTCGTGACTTCATACAAACCCTGATATAAATGAAATAATGGCGCTAAGTTTAAAAATCAGGAATTCTGAAATTTTTGCCCTTTTTAAACAACGGCCAGGATTCGAAACCATGACCTTCTGATCAAGGTCCACTCTAACGAATTAGAATTAGCTTGACGTAGGAAAAGGAGAAGAGGAGAACATAGTTATATAACCATGCATATGCATCAAGATCCATACTTAACTAAACAGTTAGTTATTTCATGTATATACAGTGTAAATAAATTATTACAGCATGCAATCAGATATAATGCTAGCATTCAAGTCATTATACTATAAGTTCGAACAAAGCTAGTATAGATGATATGATTCATGACAGCAGGGGGCATTTATTCAAATTCAAGTCCATACTGGAAACATGCCAAATAAAATAAATACTTAAAATTCTATAGCTGGAACTTCATTTCTGAAATTCGATGTTTCCATCTATTGAAATGTTTCTTTTATAAAGGTTACTTTCTAACTTATGCCTCTGCATTATGCCATTTTTATCAATATATGTTCAACATATACACTTATATAATAAAAAAAATAACATTTTGGAAAAATAGCAGATATCTTGTAACAAAAAGCTTCCTAATTCAGTATTTCTCTGCATGAGGAGTACAGTATATCTCTTTTAATTCGGGCCTTATGTATTCTGAAATCATGTCAGTTAAAAGTTTTATCCGGAAAGTTAGTTATCGTATTTGCATATTTTTACCGTTTTACCTATTGTCAGTTAAAAGTTTTACCTGGAGAGTTAGTTATCGTGTCTGCATATTTTTAGTTTTTTACCTATTAAGGAACTACTGATGTCCAGATAATATGTGTTTTTGTTTATTTACATGTAACAGGCTAGATAGATTTACCTCGGTGTCTCGAGCCACATCTATGGGGACACTAAATGCAGACGATACCAGAACCAGAACGAGGCCGGAATACAACATGGCTGACATACTCATCTCCATTTCTGTAAAAAAAAAATGATAAAAGTAGGAAACGAAATAAAAATTTCCTGACTTTTTTTACGAAATATAATAATTTTTTTTCTTTTTTAAATCAATGTAACCCTCAATTTTATTTAACATGAATTAGAGTGAATTGACGCCAGTAAACAAAGCTTGGAAACTTTAAAAGGAACAGATGCCGTTTTGATTAATGTTTGCTTTTTTTTTCGTTTTTCAATCATTCTAATTTTGAAAAGTACACTGTCCTTTCAGTAATGTTGAATCATCTAACTGTACATTTTACAACTTAATCACACACCAATAAAAGAATATTACATGTATAATATTACTTCAAGATATATTTTATTCAATATATCACTGTTGTTCAAATAACACAATAAAAATTTCTCTCTAAATAATTTATAACTTTGATTAAATAGTTTATTGACACAACTCCTTAAAATATTTTAATCTTTGGACAAAAAAAAAATGCTAAAAGCAAAAAAAAAAAAAATAAAAATAAAAAAATAAATAAATAAATAAAAACACACAACTCTGGATTCAAAGACGAGCTTTTTGAAGGTTGTGATTCAAGACAAGACCCACGGTAATTCCTGACTAATGACTGTGTCTGACTGCAATAAATTTCATCTTTGAAAATTGCTTTGTAATCAACAAGTGTGATTACCACACAGACAGCAATTATGGGGTAACGTAATTAGATTTCGATGTACATAAAGAGTGCAACTCCAAAAGTTGCAACATCTAATCAGCCAAATGTAGCAATTCCAACGGTTATTGTTTCTGTATCCTTCCAATCACGTATTATTTAGTAAATCAGATATTGATTAGTGTGTTGAATGAGTAATTAACTTTACCGTATGAAACATGTAATTATATTTGCCATCTAAATCATTCATAATATGTATCTACATATGGCCAACTTGTATGTGTACAGTATACATTGAAGAAGTGGGATACCATATCAAGATTGGTTAAACAAGTTTTCTCATAAAACTGAACTATGAAGATAACGAATGCATGGTAATCAAATTATCAAGAATGAAATATATGGAGATAACGAACAGTATTCAAGCTCAAAAGTCCATAAAATAATTCAAAATAGGAGAGGAGCAAACACAGACCTCCAAAACGTCAGAGGTGGGATCAAGTGCCATGGAAGAATGAGCATCCCCTGCCGACCTGTTATTCACGCCGTTTGCTCCTTGTAGTAATGGAAAAGATTGTCGTCAATTAAACTATCATGAAGTCACTTTAGTTTGTTGGGTTAACTTTTCGTTGTTTTCGAGGTATGAAGAGACCCACAAATTCATGTTCATCACGAAATGTAAAAATTCATACACATAATTAATCAATGCTTAGAGAAAATTAATTCCTTTTGGTAATACATTCGCCTGTTCATGAATTATCCCGATGATTGAAAAATTAACTCTTCCTTTATTCCGGTCAGCAGAAGATGCTCACGCCTCCATGGCACCTGGTCCGAACTCTGATGTTTCGAAGATCCGTGTTTGCTCTACTTCTATTTTATATTGTTTTATAGACCTTTGAGCTTGAATACTCTTCGTTATTTCAATATATTTCATACAAATTTGATAAATACAGTAAAACGCTGTTATAACAAAGTCACCGGGACCAGTGAAATTGGTTCGCTATACCCGTAATTATGTTGATAAAATAATTGTTCCTGGCCGCGGGATGTAAATTCGTGGATACGTGCAAGCCACAAAATTCACGAACATTGGTCAACAACGAACATTGATGATTCCACATATGTTTATTTAGTAAAACCTAGTGCAGGTCTACCGTCTTTAGTTCACGAAATACGATTCTGAAGAGATTTCAAGTGAGAATTTCATTTGGACAAATTTTCATCAAAATCCAAACGACAAATGATCTTGCACCTGTCCCTTGGGTTATAATGGGGCATTCTGGAACTCATTGATTGTCTCGCACATAGTTATATTACGTTTTAAGCCATAAAATTTCCTTCGTGCCACCTGATGTCTTACACTTGTTGTCTAAAGTACCAATATCACTTGACTCCATTTTCATTGGCTAATCTCGTCTGATCTATCTTAACGCTCTTTTTATTGGCTAATCTTACTAGGTCCTTCTTAACTCTCGTTTTATTGGCTATTCTCACTTGACTCTTTTTATTGGCTACCAGAATTGCTAAATTGTGTTCTGCTACATTTTTGTCATCACCTTTATCTGTCATTCGTCGTTTTGTCAATAGTATATACGTTGGAACAAGATTGGGTATTAAATTTGAATACATCCTTGCCTGTTCAAGGAACAATGCAAAAGCTAGTTGGAAAATGCTTTAATGAAGCTTTACATGTATATATAAAATTTGAAACAATCCATTTTAAGAAGCTAGTAGACACAATTCATAGCTTATCATCTCTTTTATAATTTTGAAAGGAAAATATGTATTGCTAAAATTTTAAGTAATGTGAAAATATGAAATACAGGACAAAAATTTGAAACCAATTTAATTAAAAAATAAACAATTAACATCGACACTTTTTCCTGTATTGATAGGCATGATCTATGCCTGCTATACATTAACAAGATTCTGTGTTTGTTCTATGTTCATAATAAACCTTTTTTTAAATATACTCAAATATAAAATAAATATAAAAATTAACATTAAAAAATCCAAAATCAAGCCAGCAAAAATTGATGCATTGTTATGTAGCAAACAGATCAAAAGACTAACATTTTCTGAAACGGTTCGTGCCCATCCAACCGTGTTTCATTTATGCATGTTGATGTTATCAAACATCGGTACTGAGGTGGATTGTATCGACCGTTTGTTTTTTATAATTCTGAATATGAATTATTTATACAAATTTAGACGAACAGAAATATTTATTACTGATGATTCCAAGACTTGGAGTAATGTACTGATATTTTGAGGTTTATGAATTTTTTATTATTTTTATATTTCAGAGGTATTTTTTATATTTGTTTTTCAACGCAAACAACTGTTCATTCATAGAATTTCAGAAAACAGATCTAAAACTTAACCTTAAAACAAAACATTTGTTCAGTCAAATAATTTTGAGAGAGAGAGAGAGAGAGAGGCATTGCTTCTTCTTCGACTTCGTGAAGTACATATCTCCAGTTTTGCATTAGCAAGCAGAAACAAAATTGCTGATTCTATTTTTGTTTGTTTAATCTGAAAATAGGTACCTATTTTATTCTAACTAGTCTTTATCTTGAACTATCATAAAAGTACAGATCAATTTGTTTTAAACTAATGCATAATGCATATGACTAATGTTGATTCTCGTAAATTGCAATATTAGTATTGGAATGTTTTATATGACTGTGTGTACTAAATTCTATTTGAAGTTCGATTTATAATTTTAATGAACATACTGGAATGATCATGCATTTTAATTTGTTAAACAAACCGATTTTGAATCTGTTGTTTTATAACCCTCTTCATATTAATGGTTTGGAATCCTCAAAGAATATCCCTCCAACATTGCTTTTGAATTCTTTATGTCAGAATGATGTTCTGCATCTGATGCAATGTTTGTACATTTCAAATCGATCCATAAGGCGTTTGAAGTGCCAATCAATAATATACATTAGAGACCTAGACATTTTGAAAAAAAAAAAACATCCGAGGAAATGCATGATAAATATTTGATGAAACGTACGAATATATTATAGTGGTTATTTGCCTCACAAAACCAGCATTTTCATTTTTTTTTACCTTTCTTCGATATATGGGAGTGATCGGAGGGCTGGGGTTTGAATCCACATCGCGTCAAACTTAGACGTAAACTTAGGCAGTAACCTTTACTTTACCAAGTGCTTGGCACTAGAAGTGAAAGCCATCGGTCCTTCGGATTAGGCCTTTAAAACCAAGGTCCCAAGTCACAGAAGGTGTTGGCAAGATAAAGAATCCTTACTGCTCAAAGGCCCCGAGTGCCGAATAATTACCTTAATTTGAATCCTTTTAGCGGTATTGGATGATGGCTTTATATGAGTGTAAAATTGTCGAATGGGTCAAAATACAATTAATCATTCAGTTTATCAGTGAAATCGATAAAAATTTAAGGTTTAATTTTGTTTTCTGTTTCAGATATTTTATAAACAAAAATAATCAAAATGTATTTCTGAAAGCGTTCTTAAGAAAAAGGTGAACGTGTACACAAGGACAACGATCGGTCTAGAAAAAAATATAAAAATCTGTTTTGTTTGTGTGTTGTTGAACGTCCCTCTCGAGAAATATTGCCTCATAGGGAGACACCACCACTTGCCGGTGGAGAGCTGCAAATTTTGTTCTATACTAGACACTTACGGCCACTAAACATTAAGGGTTCTTTTTCTCACATACACCTACTGCGACAAGATACCTGGTTTATACTGTCTCATCCTAAGGACCGGTCTCCACGTCACACAGTATGATTCGAACCCGTATCGAAAGGATCACCTATTTACTTCGCCACTCTACAACAAATACTCTAATCACTGCGCCACGCCAGCGACTATACAAATCTATAAACATGGCATAAAACTCGGAGGGGAATTCGAAAGGTGGGATAAGGTGTATTGGGGTGTAATCATCCCTTGCCCACCTGACAAAACTATCTTAATCCTATGTATGGATCAGCATGGTAAAGATTCATCCTATTGTCTTAGTTAAGACCGACACTCATTTACGCCCAAATACTATTCATTGATTGGTCATATTTGTCATATTTGCTGCGAACCTCATTACAATGGCCATAGAATTTACAAAATATTGTCTCTAAACGAAACTATTGAGATATATGTAACATCAACATATAATTCAGTAGTCTGCCTCAGTTCAGAGCAAAGAATGATCTTCCGTAGAGTCAGCTTTTGCCTATCGAATAAGTAGGACCGTTAATGGTAGCCTAGTGGTAGAGCGTTCGCTTCGTGATCGAGAGGCTCGGGTTCGATTCTCGTCCGCGGCGCCGCGTCAAACCTAAGACGTAAAAGAACAGGTATAGTGACTGTTCCTTCGCCAAGCGCTCGGCATCAGAAATGAAAGTCACGGGTCTTTCGGATATGACCTTAAAAACGGAGGTTCCGTGTCGCGATAGGCGCTGGCACGATGAAGAACAAACACTGCTCAATAGCCCTGAGTGCCAAGTATAGGTCTAAATTTGAAGCCATTCACCGGCATACGGTGAAGTCTCCAATTGAGTGAAAAATTCTTGAGAGGGGCGTTAAACAATATACAATCAATCGAATGAGTAGGATGACGTTGACTAATTGACTGTATATTGTTTAACGTCCCTCTCGAGAATTTTTTTTTCATATGGAGACGCCACCACTTGCCGATGGAGAGCTGCAAATTTTGTCCTATGCTTGGCACTCAGGGCCTTTGCGCAGGAGGGATCTTTTTTGTGCCAGCACTTACTGTGACACGGGACCTTGGTTTATACGGTCTCAACTGAAGGACCGGTCTCCAAGTCCCACAGTGGGATTTGAACCCGCGACGTAGGATCAACTCGTTACTTCGCGACTCTAGAGCAGACTCTCTAACCAGTGCGCCACGCGGGCGACTTACGACTTAGAATAACGTAGACAGAATAGACAGTTGTTTCCAAGGGAACATTTTTATTTCATTTGATTTATTAATTTGATTTTCAATTGCTGAACTAGAAAATCAAGCAGAAGATAAATAATAATATATTAAATGAAAATATATTACATAATTTATATCTCTTGTTAACTGAAACAAAGAAAAAAAGGCAATATGCATTCAAACTTTGAAACATCGATCCAGACAAATACATCTGAAAAATTTACAAAGTAGTACTGTCGAATGCTTCTTAAAATGAAATAAAGATATTTTCAAAAATACACTTACTGCAGTAAACTTATTTCGCCTTTTTTCTATATTCATGTCTTTCGTATTCATTAAAATAATGATATATAATAACCAAGAATTTTACTTTTTAGCTCCTATTTTGAATTGAATGTTGAAAACTGTTCATTTTCTCCATATATTTCACTGGGAATACTTTATATAAGCCTGTGTCAACGAAGTTTTTTTTTAATTTGCTTAAGCGCCCTATTAGGAATTCTTTTTACTCATATTACAAAATTAGACCTATAATGGACATCGTCGATCTTTGAGCGTTGGACGATTGTTTTTAAGCCAGTATCTATTGTGACATGGTACCTCGGCATTCACGGCGTCATTCAAAGAACCGTTTTCCAGTTTTCCCAGATCTTAGTAGAGTTACAAATAATTAACTTTTAGGATTTCAATAGAGGAATTTTTACTTTTGTTACTTAAATTAAAATATTGTTTAAAAAATGTTTAACAATTGACATCATTATGTTATACTAAAAGATAATTTTAAAATTCGAAACAAATATTTGGTTTTTCGGAAAAATGAGACTTTGGTAAAGATATTTCTTTGTAGTTATGCATTGTTCTTTTACCATATAAATTCTGGGTTTCTTGGCATTGTGCCAAAATAAAAATTTAATATCTTGGTGTACATTTAATAAGCAAAACAATCAAAATCATGTTTCATTTAAGTGTTAAAGATGTACAAAAAAAATTCGTAAAGTGTTCACATTATTGACATAAAATTTTTAAAATACTTTCATGTTTAAAATGTTTTGACTTTGCTGTAGGCAAATATCATACTTTTTTAAAATCTAAAATGAAATGAGTTAATATACACTGTAATGAAAATGGAAGAGATGCAAAAGACTTTGTTAATTCAAAATCATATGTTTCATATATAATTTGTTACTTGCAGATATAATTTTTCTAATTATTTTACATTCTTTTATACAATTCACATGGCGCAATGAAATTTCATACATTCTGTTTGAACTTTAAAAAAACAGCGAGTTAAGTTGCCAAAGACTTAAATTATGACAAACAAAAAATATGAATCCAAAAACTTAGGAATAAATATACGTAAATTGACATTTTGGTTACATTTAAAAGGTTCTTAAAGATTACTGCATAAATATACAGACCTCTCTGTAAAGTTACATAAGTTCAAAGTTTTGTATATCAAATTTAAAAAAAAAGTTCTATCAAATATGAATTACATTTTAATATGAAGTTATCTAGTATTTTTTGAGAATAGAAAAAATGCGCTGTATACAATGTCTAGAGAAAAAAAGGATGATAGTATCATTGATTTATGTTACTCTTACCTCAAAGTTCTGCTGCCGCTGTGTTGCAGTGAATTGAATGAAAGAACCGAAACATTCGATTGGCTTTTTGTTACGATTCTGCGAGCTTTTTAATAAATTATTAACTCGTACGATGATTGGCTTTTTACGGGACGTCATACTCTGTAGTATTGATGAATTATTAACCCAAACATGATTGCATTTCGGTGAGCAGATAAGCTATATTTGTAACAAGGGAACGTTGATAACAAGACTAGCACATTGTCGACACATAGTCCAGGGGTAATTCATTACGGTCTGGATAATATATGGGATATACGGAGAGATTTTTCCTATAGATTCCTCATTCAATTATACGAGAAATCTCCCCAGAATACAAAGTTAACAGAAACTCAAGAGTGGGAGGAATGTAAGATGTTGGATAATTATTTGTGTGGGTATAAGTATATAGGTAATATGAATTTTTATGGTTGATAATTGATTTGATACACCGCAATTTTTTTTTCGGAAATGGGCAGGTAATATGAACCTCTCAGTTAACTATTGCTGCATATGTATGTATAGCGTTGTTGAATTTTGAAGGCAAACATTGACATCTTTTAAAGTAAACTAATAAAACAAAGATAAAAGATTATTTTTGTTTATTTTTCATTCAGTCAAGATAATTGGATTTTATTCCGAATAGTTTGTACAATGTATAGAATTTTGGTCATGCAGTATCGGTATAGCAAAAGTTGGTACGAGTTATTTTAAGGAGTCTGGGGGGGGTCAACAGATTAACTACCAGATTTAAACTAATTTTTTTTAGATATGATATCTTAAGTTGTCAACTATCATTTGACTAAGAGAAATTCCATACAATTTAATTATAAAATTTTATCATTTTTTTTAAACCTTTATATGGAGCTCTTCCTCTAAAGGAGGTCAAAATAGTCTGAAAATGGCCACAACCCCCAGCCATTTAAACCAGCAATTTTCTTACCTGTGACGCAGACTTACATACTAATAATAGCGATCTTTTTTCGACCTTATTCGCTAAGAAACTTTTATTCTTGATTAAAACAAACAACCTTTCTGAAACACGAGTCTGTAATGTCAATGATATGAGTTACAAATCAAATATAAGGTAATGTTAATAAAGAAAGCTCTAAACACTAACAAAAAGTGCTTTTTGGACTTGAAAAGTATATCAGATAAAGGTGCACATGTTGAGACTTTTTAATTCATTTTCAATATAGGGTACCTTCCTTAAATCTGCAGGAAAAATGTTCAAAGACAATGGACTATGCATGAACAGAAACACGGTTGTTTACTTATATTGGGAAAAATATTGGAAATAATGAATTCAATTTCTTATTCTTAGTCTAACAGAAAGCTAAACATATCACAGTCTATTACAGCTTGTGTAAATCCTATCTCAATTCTAAGAGCAGATCACTCTAGCAGCATGAAAATACCAAACAGTTACAACTCTTTTATTGTGCAGTGTTTAGTGCTTCCTTACGTCGAATAAATCTGGTGTATAGCAATTTTTAAAACAAGTTAACTTTATGATAATTGTGATGCAACATAACTTATTAATACCATTTTCACATGCATGTTATGCCTCCCATTAGATTTGATAGGCAAGAACATGATTTATGCACAATTTCAAAAACTATAAAATCTATTGACAAATAATTTGAATATACAAGGTTATCATTTTGTACAACGTTTACATTTCGCAATCTCTGTGATCAACACACAATGTCATCGACTGCAGATACAATCTGCACTTGTGTCGATTTTTCATACCGATTTTCGCCTTTCACACTAAATACTTTGCAATGAAGCCCCGCTATATTCTCAAGGTATTTTCAGTTTAACAGACCATGACAAAGATCATACGCTGAGTTTGTCCGGCTGAAGAGGTATATTCACTTGTTCATGGCATCTGATTCCATTTCTTTTCCTGAAGAACTGATAGCTTTATTCTTTATATATCTTAGTTGATTCGATACGCAAGAGCATGCTCTACGTATGAACAATTTCTAAAACGAGGTAAATTATTGACAAAGAAGCTGATGAAACCAGAATTTCAGAATCTTGTTGGAGAAGAATCTCGTTTAAAGTTATCATTTCGTAAGTTCTATGGTCGATACAATGACCTTGTCAGCAAATACAATTTATCATTGAGTCAAGTATTGGCTGATTATTTTTATACTAATTGTTAGTCCAATATTAATACACTGAATTGACGACGGATTTGCAAGTTATTTACCGATCATGAAAAGGAGCACACGGTGGGTGTGGCCGTTCGGCTGGGGATGCTCACTCCTCCATGGCACCTGATCCCACCTCTGATGTTTTGGAGGTCTGCGTTTGCTCTGCTCCAATTTTGTATTGTTTTATGGACTTTTGATCTTGAATACTGTTCGCTATCTCCATATGTTTCATTGTATTACATATAACCACATATTTTGGCAATGAACAATGTTTTAATAACTTCAAAATAAATATTTTCACATAATAAATTGTAAATTTGTTAAAAATGTCGAAGAACAGTCAATGACACACTTAAAGAGTTTTAATGCTTATACGAAATATACCCTGACATATAAAAAAGACCTTATATCATGACTTTTTAAATAATGTCACCCGAATATACTACATGTACATGTATTCAATTTATTTAATCAAAAGTTTTATTCACTATTTCATTTTGAAGTTCAGTTGTCAATAATGGTCTCCAATTTAGAACAGAAAAAAGTCAGTCAGCATTCGACTTAATAATAGATTTATCTGCTGACAAGGCCATTATATCGACCAGTTACTTTTGGAACATGTATCAATATAAGCCTTATAATGACTTTGAACTAGACCGTTGATACACATGTACTTGTTTCATTAACTTGCCTATTAGTAGCCTGACAAGTTTATGAAATTATGGGCATTAAGAAATCAATCATTGGTCAATTATATAATAGAATTTTTTCGCTAATATTCTTATCTTCATTGAAAAAAAGAAAGAGAATGGTAAATCAAAGAGCTTTTAAAGAAATCACCCCCACCCCCCCCCCCCCAGTTGATAAAAAGTTACAATTTCAAACGAAATGTTTAAGGTACAATCACAATGTGTTCCAAATCATATTCCCAACAACATGCCGACTTTTTCTGGTTTCTTAAGCAATACCTATGTTATTTATAAAATTTTGTGTTTCTGTTTGATCCTTTTACGTAATTTTTTTTTATTTTTTGACATATGCAATTCTTTTTTCCCAGAAATCAAAAGAATAGTTCTATGCCTTCATTTTTTTATTTTAAGTTTAAGTAGTAGTTTAACACATTTAACACCTTCATACAGGACCAAGAATCGTTGACATTAGTAAATATGATTCACGTGATGCCTAATTAGGTCTTAAGGCGTTTATCATCTCTAAACTGTAGGTGTTGTTTTTAACACAAGCTGAATAATAGACTTTGTAGGCATTTATTAAAACAATTGGCTGAAAATGGTCTGCATATTGGAATTAAGCACACCTATACTTGTGGATAATATCCACAGTTAATACAGTAAAACTCGTTTAATACGAACACCGATATTGCGAATTTACGGATATAACGAAATCATCTTGGATCCCCAGCTATATAAATTTATTGAATTTCTTATGCAGTTATAACGAATTACGGATATAGTGAAGTAATTTCATAGATCCCAGGGACTTCGTTATAACCGAGTTTTCTGTACACTCAAATACCGATTTTAATCGAAATAATACAACTAAATGCTGTAGTGCTCACGGCGGGTGTGACCGGCCAACAAGGGATGCTTTCTACTTCTAGGCACCTAATCCCACCTCTTAATTTGCATTGGGTCTATAATTTAGGTATAATATTAAAATAAATATTTATATTGTGTCCTTGTTAAAGATTTCTATATAATATGATGTCAATATGATAATATGATGTCAATGTTCGTTATGTTCTTAATTTTCATACGTATAAAAATATTTATAAGTACAAGCACTTTGGACATTTTTATACATATATTGAGTATACTATACTTACATTTATTTGCTATGTTGGATCTAAGAAATGCTGATTGTAATCTGCATCGAATTTTTTTTTTCAGGCATGGATGACATGAAGTGAAAAAACAGCAAAGTTAATAACAATGAAATAACATGTATGAGTATACTTTCCATGAATGTTTAAAAAAATAAATGAATTTTTAACAAATATATAAGAAATATATTTTAAATATCTATACATAAAAATGAAACTGCAGATCGTAACAAAGCTTTAGTTCTCTTTTCCTTAGTGTGAACATGGCTGAAAATTTGCCGACTTGGAGTGAAACAGTAAACAATCAGTCAATCAATCCTTAGTGTGACCTTTCTTTTATTGTTGTACATTGAATGGTCAAGTGAGCATTATTTGATATGTACATGTTTAACACCTCTATATGACGTAAATACATTTCCTGTAGCCATCTTGTCTGCTGTCGAGTATAACTGTATTAAACATTCCTCAAGTAAAGTATATAGAGTAAATAGGTGTGTAATGATGCTTAATTTATGTCATTTAAAGATCGATATGGTATTTGACTCATATCATTGTTTTGCAAATAATTATTTTCTTCAAATTAATGAATTTTAATTTTAAAGATTTATAATATTGTGTAAATTTTAAAAAATGGCGTGAAACCTCTGAAAATATACAATTTGAAATTTAAATTGAAACATTGATTCATTCATTTCTGGTCTTTAACACTACATATGACAACTGTCAATTTCTTAATGTTACATAAACTTTCAAAGGAAATTTTAACTCAGCACCCACTTTCGTGAAAAGAGAGGTGTTTCCTTCTGTTGTGCCTACTGTGAGATTTTCTTTAAGCTGAAATACTGCGTTTTTTGTGACCTTTCAGAATATTATGTAATGAATAAACATTTACAATTTATTTCAGTGAAAGATAGGGAATGGGAGGAAATTAATTGAGCTCTCTGCAAGACGAAACCAAAAATGCTCGAAAGTACATATACAAAGAGCGTTTACAGAACAGTGCAAATCCTGTTTTATTTAAAGTACACATATATTAGTGTATAAGAATTTTACAAATAA